CACCGTGTTGTCCATGCCGCACTGATTAAAAGCACAAAAAGAATGTGTTTTTGCACTATGCAATTACTTCTACGGCTTTGCTTCACTGCCTTCATCCACAGAACTCCTATTATCGCCGGCCCCGTAAGACAGAATGCTGGGGCTAAGAGTATGCGGGATCCACTTCTTAACCAACTTTTACCGAACAAGGGGCTAGAGTGCTTTGGCTCTATGACGTGATCTTTTTCCACGATGTCGATGATCAAAGTTGTAAAAAAGGGAGGGATGGTGCTTGAATTTTGTTCCGCCGCAGTTTATCGAAACGCAGCGAAGCGAGATAAGCTTTCGATGGATGTGCGCTTACCGATCACTTACGGGGGTCCACTTCTCCCGTTCTGTCTTGGAGGGCTAACTCTCGAACATCGTCAGGAGCCACCTGTCAGCGGCTTATGATATAGGCAGAAGAACGTTGCCAGAATAGAATAGCAGGGAGACTGAAATGGCCATTTCTGATGCATAAGCCGTCATCGACCAGCGATAGCCAATCCTGGTGCACCACCCGGGCCTCGAACCCCCGACCTGCTGCTTAAAAGTCCAACGCTCGGGCCAGGGGCTCCTTGTCTTGTCGGTTTCGATGGGAAAATATTAACATTTGTGGATAAGCGTTCACCGATTGGTTTTGAACCTGCTGTTGGGTCTCGGGGCTCACCCTCGAGCTCTGCCAGCGGTCGCACAGCAGATAAAAAGTACAGAAGTGATACATCGAGGACCAAAAGCAACAGACGGGAGTAGACAACCAATATACGGTGGCACAAGTGACCTGACGCTAAATTCTAGGGAGATTACGGGTTGGTAATAAAGTTAACTTTAGGTTTAGGTTAAGGTCGAGCTGGTGGTGCGATTAGGGTAAGTGTTAGGGCTAAGCTTGAGGAAATGGTTTAAGGTTAAATGCTATGATTAATTGACGTTGTAACTTACCATACTAACAGCCTAGGTACTGATATATACCGCGATCAGAAATTAATTTCTCCGGAGATTAAAAAGCTG